TGTAAGCTCGCTTTGTCGAGAGGAGCAACGGTCGCCTTGGGCGTGGAGCAAAGAGCCCAAAAAAACATGTTTTTTGGTGTTGTTCGTCCGCCGTTTAACTTCAAGAGAAAACCGAGCTTACAGTTACCTCTATTGGACCTGTGTCCAGGTGTGTGTAACGCATGAAGAGCCATGCTGCTGTCTGGACGCAGAGCTGCCTGTACGAACAAATTGACTTGATGTATAGTTTGTTCAGTATTAACAGCGGGATTCTCAAGAACCAAAAAAAACGAACCAAATCCGCGTGCCCCCCTCAAATTTTGCCGAATGGACCGGACGTGTTTTTGGCCCCAAATTCCGCCGCTTTAACACCCCTAACAGTAGTTGAGACAGCTAGATGATTCATCATTTCAAGGGTACCTGCCCTACCGGCCGCAGCGTGACCACCCGTCACCCTCTGTGGCCACCACCCTGTTGCGGGCTGCCAGCATGCTCTATAGGTGGACATAGCTGTTGCGTCTACAGAAGTACACTGCTGCCTTTTGCTACACTTCTGCCTCTGTTTTGTCCGCGGTGGAAAAAAAAAGTTGACGCCGAAACGGAACCTAGGGCCAAACACCGGCTTTCATGTCAAGACAATGCATAGAGGTAAGCACTGGGCTGAGCTACCTCACGACGTTCTGCACCGTGACGGCAGCACAAAATATCACCACCACCACCGCCACCGGTCTTCAATGATGCCAAAAAAACACCCTCAACACCCTGCTACCAAAACTACCACCACCATCGCCACCAACAGACAAAACAACAAAAAACAAAACAACCATCGATACACGCAAGCACGCACCTTTTCCAGAGCGCGTCCGTCCTCCTCTTGAACCCGACCGCAAAGCAAACCGCCGGCGCGATGCCCAGCAGCAGGGCGGCCGGCAACGCCGTCCAGAACACAGCCGACGGCACCGCTCCCCCCCCCGCACCGGTCGTCGCCGCCGCCGCGGCCGCCGCGGCCGCTGCAGTGGCCGCGTCGGCCACCTTCCCGCCGCCGCCCCCGCCAATGAACGAAAACCACAGGTGCGAGGAGGCGAGGTCGGAAGCGGCGGCGGCGCTAGCAGCGGCCGATCGCACCAGGCCGCCGCCGACGCCGCCGACGCCGGTGCCAGGGGTGGCCAGAGACACGGCGAGGGTGCTGGCGGCGACGAGGGCCGCCGCCAGCACGGCGGCGTAGACGCCGAGGGCGGCGACCGGACGCCTCTCCACGGCGTCTGCAAGGACGGCCGTCGGCATCGGGAACAGCCGGCGGCGCGCCCGCGCCAGCATCTCGTACAGCTCCTCGTCCTCCGAGTACGCCTGCGCGGGGAAAACACGGGCGCAAGTTCGTCGTCGAGAGCACCACAGTAAGGGGCGGTGGTGGGTCGATAGTGGGAATGCAGCTATGGGTTGGGTTTGGAACCAGGGTGGGGTGGGGTACGGTTGTGGTTGGCTGTTCGTTGGGATTGTGGGGGTCTGTGGGCTGATGGCGGCGGATCAAGGACACGGTCGTGGACTGCTCCAGATTCGCTTCAGCTTCTTCGCCAAGAAGCGACAAGCTGCATAAGCCTGCCGATGGATCACCGCACGCCACCGCCTCAACCTACCACACAGGCAGAAACGGATGGATAAGACACACAAATCGCGCACACAAAACAAGTGCACCCCTCCCCCGCCCCCTTGGTTCACCGTGCTCACACCTTTGCTGCCCCCTTCCATCAGTTACGCATCGGTGGCAGACAGGCTATCGGTTGCTCTGATAACAACGGCGAACTAGACTCGACAGAAGGAAGGAATACAACAAAACACGCACACGAACTTCGGATGCACAACAGAACACCGCTCGAGAGGGGGGCCGAGAGGAGAAGGCATGTCACTCCGCTTTCTGGAGAGGAATGCGTCATCCAACCGCAAAAACGAATACGGCAAGCAAGCAACCCCCAATACCCCCCCCCCCTTGCCCCCCCCGGTGTTTGCCATCGGGGTTGGGTTTTCGTCGCTTGGCAAAGACGTTGTAAAACAAGCCAATTCACTTCGTGAACTCGGCAACCAGGTTACAGTTTTTTTTTTGG